AGACCAGTTCCCGCTCACTGGCTGAGCGTGGTGCGGGCACAACACCGAGGGTTGCGATCCTGTTACCGGTCAGTAAAAAAGACAAAAAAGGAAAAAAAAAAAACCATTAAATCAGATCATGTCACTCCTGTGCTCAAAACCCTCCACTGGGGCCGGCCCGTGGCTCACTCGGGAGAGTGCGGTGCTGATGACACCAAGGCCCCGGGTTCGGATCCCATATAGGGATGGCCGGTTCGCTCACTGGCTGAGCGTGGTGCTGACAACACCAAGTCAAGGGTTAAGATCCCCTTACCGGTCATCTTTTAAAAAAAACAAAACAAAACAAAACAAAACCCTCCACTGACTCCTCATCTCACTCAGAGGAAGCAAAGCTGCCCAGGGGCCCAGAGGCCCTGCACCCTGACTGGCCCTTCCTCATCCCTGGCCCCGCCCCACTTCGCCCCACCTCCACCCACTTGTCCCTCAGCCCCTCTACGCTGGCCCTCACAGTGCCTTCTGTGCTGCAGCCTTGTCATGCCTCCTGACCTCTGCACTGGCTGTTTCACCCAGAAGGCTTTTCTTCAGAGATCTTTGCACACTCATTCCTTTGCCTCCTGGCAGATCTCTGCTTAACTATGACTCTTAGTAGATTCTTTCCTGATCTTTTTGTGTAAAAGTAGCAACCTTATGTCGACCTACAGATGAATGGATAAATAAAACCTGGTCTAGCCATACAATGGAATATTATTCAGCCTTAGAAAGGAAGGAAGTTCTGGGCCGGCCTGTGGCTCACTCGGGAGAGTGCGGTGCTGATAACACCAAGGCCACGGGTTCGGATCCCATATAGGGATGGGTGGTTGGCTCACCTGGGAGAGCGTGGTACTGACAACACCAAGTCAAGGGATAAGATCCCCTTACTGGTCATCTTTTTTTTTAAAAAAAAAAAAAAGGAAGGAAGTTCTGACATAAGCCACAACACGGATGAAACTTCAGGACATATTCCACACCCGGCACAAAAGAGCTTTCCTAACGCAGAGGGGGTGGCAAAGGCTACTGTGACACCCTCCCATTTCAGCTGGTGAGGCACCAGGTTGTAAGCTGAAGCTGGCTCTCATAGGAATGAGGGCTGCCGGGGGGCTGTGGAAATGGGCAGCCCACTGTGTTGTGGGGGCTCCATCGGGGGAGGAGGGGGAGGACAGTTCTGGGCTCACCCAGCCACCATGCAGACCCCAAGTCCTGATGGCCTTCTGGGGCACCTACTTGCCCTACCCACCAGCCTTGTGGCTTTGCCCAGGTGTGTGTGTGGGGGGGGGTGGCATGCCCACCCTCCAGTCCAGCCCAGGGTGGTAGCAGCAAAGCGTGGCATTGCCTCAGTTTCTTACAAAAAATTCATCATAATAATATTAATAATAATATACTCGACACTGTAGGGCTGGGGCGCTGTCCAGGAGTCCGTAGGCAGGCAGGGGCCTACGAGGGGCAGGGGCGCGTGTTGGCCCCTGCCTGGGCGCGGTGCTGCAGGTCCAGGGGCTGTGGGGGCAGGCCGCCGGGCCGGGCTGAGTGCAGCACCAGATTCTTGACACAGCCTGTGATGCCCGAGGAGAATCTGCCCCCAGTCAGTGTGGCCACATCGGTGGCTCCACCTGTGGGGAGGGGAGAGGAGAGGGCCTGAGAGCTCCAGAAGCCCAGGAGGTGAGGAAGGCCAGGTGTGCTCCAGCTGTGCCGGAGCCCCATTCCCTCCCTGGCCCCAAGGAGGAGCTCCAGGCCTGTGCCCAGGACTTACCGATGTAGATGCTGCCCTTGGTGTTGACTGCCACATTAGGGCCTGGGGACTGGCCACTCACCAGCTCCTCACCGTCCACCTGGATGGAGCCTCTACGGCCCTGTCTGCAGTGGAATTGGGTCAGCCCCTTACCACAAATCCCCCTGTCCTCCCCAGCCCAACAACAGAGTCCCATCGCTGTGGCACTGAGACTCCAGACAGAGAGGTCTGCCCCTGCTGTCTGAGTTCTTTCTTTCCCCCACTGGGTGGGGGAATCTGACCCCACAAACAGCTTCCTCTTCCCTCTGCCCAGTTTTCTCCATCCCTACAGGTGCTCACCTGCCCCAGCAGAGTCTGGCCTGGAAGTCTGTGCTCTGGCTGGTGGGTTTTCCCCCATCCCAGCTTCAAGTTGTCTCCCCAGAGCTCAATGCCTGTCTCCCTGCCCATCGTGGGGGGTGTCCTGTCCCCCTCTAGAACTCTGGGCCCCTTTCCCTAGAGCCTGGCTGGGCTCCCTTACCGTAGTGCTGTCACCCGATGCCATTCTCCATCATTGATGGGGTCCTCAGAGACAAGGCGGGCCTCCCCACTGCCCAGCTGGTAGCTGCAGTCAAACAGGCCCAAGAAGGTATGAGCTGGGGCAGGACTGGGGGTGGGGTGGGGATGGTGGTGGTGGTGTGTGGCTGGAGGGATGGGGGCTGCAGCTTCCCATGTGGGGAGCCATGAGGCTGGTAAGAGGGGAAGCAAGTGGGGGAAAGGGGGAGGAGACAGGGAAGGGAGAGGGAGGGTCAGGTGCCAGGACCCACCTGAAGACAAGGTGCCCATCCTGAAGCCCGAGGCTGATGAAGTCCTTGCCTCGGCTGCCCTCTCCCACCACCTGCCAAGGAAGCACAGGGTCTCTGGGATCCCCAACCTGGAGAGCTAAGGCCCCCAAAGCTGTAGCCTCTGTTTTCTTCTCTCCCTACTGCCCTGGCCATCAGGAAGGCAGCCTCCTGCCTCAGGAAGCCTGAGACTCCAGGCCGGGTGCCAATACTCCTGCCAAGGAAGCACAGGGTCTCTGGGATCCCCAACCTGGAGAGCTAAGGCCCCCAAAGCTGTAGCCTCTGTTTTCTTCTCTCCCTACTGCCCTGGCCATCAGGAAGGCAGCCTCCTGCCTCAGGAAGCCTGAGACTCCGGGCCGGGTGCCAATACTCACCACGCCCTGCCACAGCAGGAGGCCGCTGGCCGTGCTGGTCCGAACCTCCAGCTCGATGGTCTCGGGCACTTCGGGAAGGCTGTGGCGTAGGAGTGCATGAGGGGACAGAAGTCCCAGATTGCCATCCTTCCCCGTGGGCCCACAGACCCTCCCAACCTGACTCACCTCCTGGAGAAGATGCTGCTAGGGAGGGCTAGGAAGCCATCATCATGGAAATAGGCACCATACTGCCCAGGGGCATCTGCAGGAGAATGTGGGGTGGTAAGACACCTGCTCCCCCACATCAGGCATTCCCCCGACCCCACCGCTGCTCCCACATGTACGACTGCTGGGGGCTCTGAACTTGCAATCCCTGGATACCCAAGGGGACCGTCGACAGACGCAGGGGGCCTGTGAACTTGGTTGGGAAAACATTACGTCTCTATTTTCACTCACTTCTCACTGAAATTTAGCAGTTCCTTCCGTTGTAGGTGTAGGAAACACACCAAAGTAGTAGTAGCAGGACCTGTGATTCTGTCAACTAATATTTGCTTATCACATTACAGTAGTTGCAATTATTTCAAAATACTGTTTATGCTTATTACTATTTCAAAGTTGCGATAGCTATTAAGACCACAACTAGATCTTGTTTTCAAACCCTGGACCTTGGTGTTACCAGGACCATGCTCTAACAATTGAGCTAACCAGCCAGCCCTAGATCTTGTTGTATAATGTGTTAATAAAGAAGCATATATATTACAAATAAAAAAAATTTTAAAATATTT